GGTGGGTTGGGAGAGAGACTGAGCGTTCTTCCTGAACTTGAGTTGTAGCCTGGTGCTTCCCTAATAAACCCTGTAATCTGTGAGTTCTGTGTGGCCACTGCAGCGAATTATCGAACCCAGGAGAGAGGTGGTGGGTGCTTTGGGAGGAACGGTTGGTGAGAGGGCTGGAGGGAGGCAGCATGTTTGGCCTTGCAGTAATAGGCCTTGGGTTACTGCTGGTAATCCTGTCTTCCTCTTGTCAGATTAGAGGAGGTCAGAACATGTGGCCTCCTTTCCGTTTTTGCACCGAGTCAATACCTGACTCAGGTGTAGGAAAATTCTATATTGTGAAAATTCTCTGATCATATAATTTTACAGCTAGCTTTATATATATCGTTCTTGTTAGGTGGTGCTGAGACAGTTCTCACTCATAGTGACCCCGTGTATAACAGAATGAAACACTGTCTGGTCCTGTGTCATCCTCATAATTGTTACTACATTTGAAACCACTGTTGCGCCCACTGTGTGACTATCTTGTTGATGGTGTTCCTCTTTCTCACTGACCCTCTAACTTTACCAAATATGCATATACATACATACTCATACAAGTATATAATGTTGTGACACCTTAGGACTTCCTTCTGAGGCACTGTTTTCTCTTGTATGAATGACACTCACTTCAAATGTCTCCTCTGTTTTTCATGCTGATCTTTATCACCAGGCAATTCGGAAATTTCTTCTAACATAGAAGACCAGGTATTATTCTTCATGAATTGCACCATTATATGTTCACTGGATAACTTTTCTCCATGATTAAGTTTTCGACAGACTGACCCAATAATTCAAGTTGAGGTTCACAATAATATGACAGGAAAAAGAAAGGAGTTATTAGGGAAAAATAAGATACTGTAAACATACACACACTGGCCACATTTCGCTGTTCCAGTATTTTGACAGCATTAAAAGGCAATTTACTAGAAAATATATCCGCAAGTTCTGACAATGCCAATGACATAAACAGATGTAATCAGGATAGCAAAGTGGAAAGATAACGGACACAATACACATGTAACTCTAAAAGAAGAAAAGTTTCTCCATGACCACAGGTGTGAGGGGATTGCTGAAGTCAGAAACGTAAGCTCAGGTATCTGTAAGTTGTGTGTTCAACCCAAAAGAGACTTTTTCTGCCTGAAGGATTCAAATGTGAATCCCTATCTCCCCTGTACCAGCTCCTCTTGGAAAACAAATGGGGAGAGCTGACATGGTGCTCATGGAGAAATGCACATTATGAAGGGACACAATGCATAGCAATGAACATTTCCCTGACATTGAGCCAATACTGTGGTCCTCAGGGACTCTGAAGATGTACTGCTGTGAGTTTATTTCCAGCAAAATCATCATGGCAAACCTGGAATAAGCACAGTAAAATGCTCTACAAGGTCCCAAAACACAAATCTCTCAGTGCCCCAAGTGACACCTGAAGCCAATGCTTACATTTACAACCCTTAAAAAGCCTCAGGGCTTTTAACCACAAGAGAAATGAAAACTCACTTTAATACATAGAGATTTATGTTCGTGGGGAAGCTAGGACATGTGAGCTCCACAGACAATGACTGCTGCTTGTTTTATTTAACCATTTATACCTATTCTTTATCCAAATACTGGAGCACAGTCAATGATTAAAATATTTTTGTTCACTAAAAGAACAGAAAAAAATGACATCATTCTTACCTACTGAATCCAGGTTTCTGAAGGTTTCCATCATCACGTCTCTGTAGAGTTTCCTCTGATCAAGATCCAGCAAAGCCCACTCTTCCTGGCTAAAGACCACAGCCACATCCTCAACAATCACTGAGTCCTAAAACATCCCACACATTCTAGATCAGCAAGGCACCATGTAACCCAATGTGTACACAGACGATGGGTGAGGCTGACAGTCCTGAGGAACTGAGATTTCATAGGGATTTGACACAAGGTTCTGTGTTCTACCAAGGTTTACTATAGGGAATAGCCATCAGCCTCGTCCCTCCTCCCCTAACTACATTCAGTTTCTCACTGGTTGCATCCTGTCTCACAGACTTCAAACACATTGCTTATTTCACTGTGGCCAACTGCAGTCTTATCCTCTCTTTATGGTCTACAATGGTTAAGAAAAACTCAGCAGAAATTAGAGAAATGCTCTAATCCAAATCATCACTTCCTTGTGAACAATTTCACAACCTTCCATAAAATCACTTAGCAAAACATGAAACAGAGTGAAGGCAGGATAATATGTTAACAACTGGGAAATAGTGTAGAGTGCAACTGTTTCCTCTTGGCCCTCAAAGCCATGAAAGGGCCAGGGGCTGCACAAACAATCTGTCAACTCAACTGCTACACAATCACTTACTTAATATGGCTCCTCTAGCAATGCTCTTTGTGACACTCACCACATGACTGGGTGGGACTATCCAAATGTGAGGTGCTTACGGGCCACCAAGGGGACTGGATAGTTTGCTAATAATGTAAATAAGGTACATGGCCACCTTATGGGGGTGGGACTACGCATAAGGTGTCTGAACCCTAACATGAGCATTGGTCAGTATTGCCACCCACAAGGCTTAAAAGATGGTGATCTTTTATCACTGGTGATTCAAATGCAAAAGTTGGAAATAAAGAAGAATCACCAGTAGTTGGAAAACATGGCTTTGGGGACAGAATTAACCCTGGAGATTCCATGACAGAATTTTGCAAGACCAATGACTTATTCATTGCAAATATCTGTTTTCAACAACATAAACCAAAAAAACCAAACTCACTGCTGTCAAGTCGGGTTTCACTCATACTGACCCTTCCTTGGGTTTCCAAGGAGATATCACTATGAAAGGAGATCGTCTAATCTTCCTTCCGAGGAGTGGCTGGTGGGTTTGAACCACCAGCCTTCTGGTTAAGCAGTCAGATGCCTTAGGCACTACACTACCAGAGCTCCTTCTCAACAACATAAATGGCACCTATACATGTGGACTTTGCCGGATGGAGTACACAAGTATCAGATCAACTACATCTGTGGAAAGAGGTGAAGAGAAGCTCAACATTTTCAGCCAGAACTAGGGCAGGAGCTGACTTGAAACAGAGTATCAATTGCTCATATGCATGTTCAAGTTGAAGCTGAAGGCAATTAAAAGAAGTCCATGAGAGCCAAAACATGACCTTGATTATATCCCTCCTAAATTTAGAGACCATTTAAAGAACAGATTTGATGCAATGAACACCAGTGACCAAAAACCAGAGGAACTGTGGGATGACATCAAGAACATCACCCATGAAGAAAGCAAAAGGCCATTAAAAAGACAGGAAAGGAGGAAAAGAACAAAATGGATGTCAGAAACTTGCCCTTGAACAGAGTAGCTAAAGCAAATAGAAGAAACAAGAAGATAAAAGAGCCCAACAGAAGATTTCAAAGAACAACTCAAGAAGACAAAGTCAATTATTGTAAGAAATGTGCAAAGATCTGGAGTTAGAAAAGCAAAAGGGAAGAACACACTCAGCATTTCTAGAGCTGAAAGAACTGAAGAAAAAACTTCAAGCCTGGAATTGCAATATTGAAAGATTCTATGGGCAAAATATTGAATGATGTAGGAAACATCAAAAGAAGATGCAAAGAATACAGAGTCACTATACCAAAAAGAATTAGTCAATGTTCATCTATTTCAGGAGGTGGCATATGATCAAGAACCAATGGTACTGAAGGAAGAAGTTGAAGCTCCACTGAAGGAACTGGTGAAAAACAAGGCTCCAAGAATTGACAGAATAACCACTGAAATGTTCCAACAAATGGATGAGGCACTCACACATCTGTGCCAAGAGATTTGGAAGACAGCTTCCTGGCCAACTGACTGGAAGAGATCCATATCTGTACCCATCGCAAAGAAAGGTGATTCCACAGAATGTGGAAATTATCCAACAATGTCATTAATATCATATGCAAGTAAAATCTTACTGAAGGTAATTCAAAAACGTTTGCAGCAGTATATTGACAGAGAACTTCCAGAAATCCAAGGTGATTCAGAAGAGGACATGGAATAAGGGATCCTGGCTGAAAGCAAAGAATACCAGAAAGATGTTTACTCGTGTTTTATTGACTATGCAAAAGCATTCAATTGTGTGGATCATAACAAATTATCGATAACACTGACAAGAATGAAAATTCCAGAACACTTAATTGTGCTCATGAGGAACGTGTACAAATACCAGGAGGCTATTGTTTGAACAGAACAAGGGGACACTGGATAGTTTAAAATCAGTAAGCGAGTATGTTAGGTTGTATCCTTTCACCATACTTATTCAATCTGTATGCTGAGCAAATAATCTGAGAAGATGGATCATATGAAGAATGCAGATCAGCACTGGAGGAAGACTCATTAACAACTGGCGATACAGTGATGACACAACTTTGCTTGCTGAAAGTGAGGATGACTTGAAGCACTTACTGGTGAAGATTAAATACTACAGTCTGCAGTGTGGATTATATCTCAACACAGACAACAAAAATCCTCACAACTAGACCAACAAGCAGCATCACAATAAACAGAGAAAAGAAAGAAGTTGTCAAAGATTTCATATTACTTGGTGCACAATCAACACCAATGGAAGCAGCATCTGATGACATACTCCACTGGGCAAATCTGCTGCAAAAGAACTCTTTCAAGTGCTAAACAGCAAAGATGTCTCTTTGAAGACTACGTCATACTTAACCCAAGCCATTTGAGAGCTAGAAAAGGAATTAGGAAGAAGAGTTGATGTTTTGAGTTGCGGTGCTGGTGAAGAATACTGAAGGTACTATGGACTGCCAAAACAACTGACAAATCTGTCCTGGAAGAAGTGTGGTCAGAACGCTCCTTGGAAGCAAGAATGGTCTGACTTCATCTCACCTACTTTGGTCATGTTGTCAGAGGGACCATACCTTGTAGAAGGATATCACGCTTGGTAAAGTGGAGGGTCAACGAAAAAGAGGAAGGCCCTCAATGAGATAGATTAACACAGTGCCTGCTACAATGGGCTCAGATATAGCAAAGAGTGTGAGGCTGGCACAGGACCCAGCAGTGTTTTGTTGTGTTATACACAGGGTCACTATGAGTCAGAGCCAACTTGATGACACATAACAACAAGAACAACAAGGCTTAAAATGAGCCATCTCAGAGCCAGAAAAGGGGATCTCATTGTCTTCAAAAAAGAAGACCCAGGAGTGGCGTGTGTACTTTTGACCCATGTTCCCTACACTGAACTTCTATGATCCAAAAGAGAGTTGTAACACTTTACTGAGGTGGACAGAGATGGTGAGAGATGGCAGCAGAGAAAGCGCAGCAGCAGAGGCAGCAGAACTGAGACTGGCACAAGACAGAGCAGTGGGCTTCCTACCCATGGAGCAGGAAAGCTGAGTGCCTTCTGGCAGGAGGCTTGTGGGCAGAATAGGCATTTCATTTGGGCATCCATCAGCTCAGCTAAAAGAGCTTTGTAACACCTGCCTAAGCAGAGCAGAGGCCAAGGCCAGAGAGAAACATGCCCATGGCATAGCTGAGAAGAGGATGTCCTGACTAAAGAACTCTATCCTTAGTGTGTCTGAAGCTCAACTGTAACCTGTTCCTTCTCTAAAAAAACCCATAATCTTGACTATTATCTATGCATTCTGTGTGGCCATTGCAACTAATCATAGAACCTAGCAGAGAAATAGAGAATGTCTTGAGAAGGACAGTTGAAGTCAGAACTGGAAAAAGGTTGGAGGGTAGCAGCATGTCTAAGCTCTGCCTCACAGGAATCAGCCTTGGGCTATTGATGACAACAGTGATTCTCTCCCCACCTCATGAAGTTAGATGAGGTTAGATGACACCTCCTCCATGCCCTTATTGCAGTAAGCTTTAAAGAAATTTTATATCAGTTAAAAAAAATGTGTTCCGGAGGTCTGGCAAGATGGTGGAATAGGCAGAAAGACTGCACAGACCCTCTTCAACAAAGAAAATGGAAAGCAATTAACACAGATACAGAAGATAATCCTGGACCCCTTGAAGTGAATGATATAGAAGCGGACTAAACCCCAACTAGCAGAATTTGTGTGAAAATACCAATAAAGGAGACATACTGAGTTGTGGTCTGGCAGCGGTCGTGAGCAATCCTGATGGCACAGACAGCTTGGAGAATCCCGACTGGTGGTAGGACTTAAGAATTAACCTAAAAATCACCCTACTAGCCAGGGACTGCACGGA